ATATATATATATATATATATATATATAGTCGAACATTATATATATAATCGTACATGAATTGTAGATGTTGGTTACTTCATCTTGCAGGCGGATCGGTGTACAGGGCTTCATGGTGTGTCGCTGCTTTCTGTGCTCCTCTATCGTATCTCCCAGCCTCCCCCTAATGGGATCATCATTATAAATGCTGGTTATTTCATCTTGCAGGCGGATCAGTGTACAGGGCTTCAGGGCTTCATGGTGTGTCACAGCTTCGGAGGAGGAACAGGGTCCGGATTCACGTCTCTGCTCATGGAGAGGCTGTCCGTAGACTACGGAAAGAAATCCAAGCTTCAGTTTGCCGTCTATCCAGCTCCCCAGGTGTGTGCGTGTGCGTGCGTGCGTGCGCGCGCGCGCGTGTGTGTGTGTGCGTGCGTGTGTGTGTGTGTGTGTGTGTGTGTGTGTGTGTGTGTGTGCGTGCGTGCGGCGAGGTGCTTGTGTGTTCTTCCTCTCTCTCTCTTCTATTCTCCGCCCTCTCTACCTTTCTCTGTCTCTCTTCCTTCCTCTTCTCTCTTCACTCTCTTCTCTTTCTCTCTCTCCTCTCTCTCAGTGCTATATATATATATTATCTCTTTTTTTCGCCTCTTGCTCTTTCTCTCATCTCTTCTATTCGCTATTCGCCGCTCATTCTCTCGGCTCCCGCCTCGCATCTCTCTCTCGTCCTGCTAAATCTTTTTATCTCTCTCCGCTCGCTCTTGCTGTCTATCTTTTTATCTCTCTCCCTCGCTCTTCTCTCCCTCCTCTCTCTCTTATCATATCTATACCTACACCTGCAGGTGTCTACGGCCGTGGTGGAACCGTACAACGCTGTATTAACCACCCACACCACGATCGACCACGCCGACTGCGCCTTCATGGTCGACAACGAGGCCATCTTCGACATCTGTCGACGTAATCTGGGCATAGACCGCCCCACCTACACCAACCTGAATCGCCTCATTGGCCAGGTAAGCCGCGGAGGGCGTGGCTAGGTACTGTGGGGGTGTAGGTTAAGTGGGTTACAAATTGAGCAGGGGACAAAGGTATAGGCACTACAGGGTGTAGTTCCACTGGGTTGGTTTCTAAATGTAAAATTGAACAAGGGCCTAGGTAAACACTACAGGGCAGTGGCTCTCAACCTTTTTTTGAGTCATGGACCCCTTTGAGAATCTGGTGAAAGCTACGGGCCCCTCCCCAGAGAAATGCACATAAGCACATAAACACAATAATTTTTATGCGCCTGGTTCAGGGACCCCCTGAAGCCCATCCACGGACCCAAAAGGGGTCCATGGACCACAGGTTAAGAACCCTTGCTATAGGGTGTAGGTCAAGTGCGTTAAAATTGGTTTCTAGATATTTAATTCAACCGTGTCATCGGGTTCTTCTTCTATCGTGCAGGTGATATCCTCGATCACAGCCTCACTGCGCTTCGAGGGAGCCCTCAACGTCGACCTGACCGAGTTCCAAACGAACCTGGTGCCGTACCCTCGCATTCACTTCCCGCTCATCACCTACGCACCGGTCATCTCTGCCGAGAAGGCCCACCACGAGCAGCTATGCGTCGCCGAGATCACGAACTCCTGCTTCGAGCCGAACAACCAGATGGTGAAATGCGACCCGAGACGCGGAAAGTACATGGCTTGCTGCATGTTGTACCGCGGCGACGTCGTGCCCAAGGACGTCAACTCCGCGATAGCGACGATCAAGACAAAGCGCTCGATCCAGTTCGTCGACTGGTGTCCGACCGGATTCAAGGTCGGCATCAACTATCAACCGCCGACGGTGGTCCCTGGCGGTGACCTTGCGAAGGTCGCACGAGCCGTGTGTATGATTAGTAACACCACGGCTATTGCCGAGGCGTGGGGGCGGCTCAATCACAAGTTTGACTTGATGTACGCGAAGAGGGCCTTCGTGCATTGGTACGTGGGGGAGGGCATGGAGGAGGGAGAGTTCTCCGAGGCGAGAGAGGATCTGGCGGCGCTGGAGAAGGACTACGAGGAGGTGGGCAGGGACTCCGGAGAGGAGAACGGCTACGATGATGAGCAGGAGGAGTATTAAAGAAGAGGGAAGGGGAGAAGTATTAGAGAGAGAAGACAGGAGGGATATTAGAGGAAAGAAGTGGAGAGGAGTATGGACAGGGGAAGTATTATATAAGAAGGAAGGACTATTATTAGATGAGAGAAAAAGAGGCGTACTGAACGAGAAGGCGTAAATTCAGTTGTGTCAGGGGGAGTATTAGAGAAGAGGATTCATAGAAAAAAGTATGAAAGACAAGAGAAGAAAGAAAACGGGAGATGTCCCCTAGGAGATCTAAGTACCATTTTACTCTGCTCAATTACTAGAATACGGAGCAAAATTAAAAAATAAGGTTAGATAATAATCGTAAATAACCCTAACGTGATTTTTTTGGTAACTTATCCGTGAAAGTCTTGTCTCAGACCCACCTCTACCACACTATGGACGTCGATCAAGAGCTGCGCCCGTCGCTCATCACTACACAGTTGAGTCATGACATTTTTCCACCACCCCCCTAGAAATTTGCTCAGCCTACGGCCCTGCGTAAGTCCTGAACGCAGATAGATGTGCGTGAAAACGCGAAGCTGGCATTTCTCAAAGTTATAGGCGCTTCCTTGCGCGTGTTTGTGTTTTTTGTAAATATATACGTGAAGCATCGCTCACTAAGCGAGGTGACGATGATGATGATGATGATGATGATGAAAATGATGACGATGATGATGATGATGATGATGATGATGATTATGATGATGATGATGATAATGACGATGATGATGACGACGACGACGATGATGATGACGATGATGATGACGACGACGACGATGATGATGATGATGATGCGGAATACGTGCTTGCCGCGTGATGGTTAGAGTGGTGCTAGTCCTTTTGCTCAACATGTAACTGGTGCTTTTCACGTTAGATAAAAAAAATATTCCGCGCGCTCACGGAATATTTATACGGTCTTCTTTAGTCGAGAGATGGCGCCACGGTATCCCGGTAGCGCGATCTTCTGTTGCTAACGCACGTCGCTTGTACTTCCGACCACGTTCGTCGTTTCCATTTTTCTATCGTTGCGAAATATACGCTGAGCTTTATATGTTCCTTTCTCGACGAATTGGAAAAGCTATAGGGTAACTATATATGAGTTGTCTATAACTGTAATGATGTCCTTAGAATGCGGTTTGGGTTTCTAGGATGACGTAACGCGCGCGTAAGTTATTTCTTGTTTGTATTCACCGATTTCTAGTGTTTCGTATACGTAGTATTTTTTCGCGTGCGGGATTTGTATGTGTGCGGATATCTATGTTATTTCTATATACGCGAGGATGCTGTATTTCGCGGCCCCACACGCGCTATATTCTCTTATTTCGCCCGACAGGTGGCAGCAGCGCCTTACTATGAAATATGCATGGCGCCGGACATAGTGCTAAGGGGGTGACTGCGTAATGTTTGTATGACGTGTACGGTCGTGTAATATTTATGAAAGCTCTGCTAGGTGTTTATCGTGTAGCAGCAATACCAGGGCCATTAGCGCGGAGTGGGGCTAACTGCTGTCGCGTGAATTTGCCGTTTGCCTTCGCCATCACTGTACATATCAGGTGTCGAAACAATAAACGTTTTATTTAAAAATGATGCGCCATATGTTTCGTTTCTGTCTCCTGTTGTCAGCATTCTATTATAGCTTTCCGGCGCGCCTCTCTCATCCTCTCGCCATCATCTCTCTCTCCTGCATCTACATGCTCTCCTCTCTCTCTCTCTCTCTCTCTCTCTCTCTCTCTCTCTCCTCTCTCTCCTCTTCCACTCTGCCTCTCTCGCTCTCTCCTCTCTTTCTCTCTCTCTCTCTCTCTCTCTTCTCTCTCTCTCTCTCTCTCTCTCTCTCTCTGTCTCTCTCTCTCTCTCCTCTCTCTCTCTCTCGCTCTGTCTCTCTCTCTCTCTCTTCGCGTCTCTCTCTCTCTCTCTCTCTCTCTCTCTCTCTCTCTCTCGTCTCTCTCTCTCTTCTCTCTCTCTCTCCTCTCTCTTCTTCTCTCTCTCTCTCTCTTTCTCTCTGCTCTCTCTCTCTCTCTCTCTCTCTCTCTCTCTCTCTCTCTTCTTTCTCTCTCTCTCGCTCTCTCTTCTCTCTCTCTCTCCTTTCCCACTTCTCTCTTGCTCCCTTCCCCTCTCGCGCCCTCTCTCCCCCTCTCTCTCTTCCCACTACCATCTCTCCTCTCTTCGCTCTCTCTGTCCCTCTCCATATCTTACACTTTTCTTCATATAATACCTTATCATACCTTCCTCTTTCTCCGCCGCGTGCTTTCTCTCTCTCTCTGTCTCTCCCTCGCTTACTCGTTCTCCATTCGCTCGTCACTCTCTCTCTCTCTCTCTCTCTCTCTTCTCTCCTCTCTCTCTCTCTCTCCTTCTCTCTCTCTCTCTCTCTCCTCTCTCTCTTTCTGTTTGTCTCTCTATCTCTCTCAACTCTCATACTTTATCTCCTCTTTTCTCTCTCACCCTTCACTTTCGCTCTCACGCTCTTCTCTCTCTCTCTCTCTCTCTCTCTCTCTCTCTCTCTCTCTCTTTCTTTCTATCTCTCTCTCTCTCACTTACTTTTACTGTCACTATCTTGCGTTCTGTCTCATTATTTCTCCATCTCTCTCCCGTCTCTGTTTCACTTCAAAATTCAAGTTTTGATGAGTCATCTCTCTGTTTCCATTGCGATTTCCCTCTCTCCTTTGTTAACTCACTCTCTCATTAGCTTCTTTCTCTCTCTCTCTCTCTCTCTCTCTCTCTCTCTCTATCTCGATCTTTCTCTCGATCGACCCTTCTCTCGCTTTCTCTTTGTGTGTAACCTTTCGCTATGCGTCTCCGTCTCTCTTTCCCTACTCTCGCTTTCTCTTTGTGTGTAACCTTTCTCTATGTGTCTCCGCCTCTATCTCCCTTCTCTCGCTTTCTCTTTGTGTGTAACCTTTCGCTATGCGTCTCCGCCTCTCTCTCCCTACTCTCGCTCTGTCTTTGTGTATAAACTTTCTCGATGTGTCTCCGCCTCTCTTTCCCTTCTCTCACTTTCTCTTTGCGTGTTACCTTTCTATGTCTCTCTCTCCCTTCGCTCGCTTTCTCTTTGTGCGTAACCTTTCTCTGTGTGCGTGTGTGTGTCTCTCTCTCTTCTCGCGCGTGTTACCTCAATACCGATACCTCTTATCGTCAATACCGAGTAGATCACACACCTGCTCAATGACTCCAATTATCAATTGTGATATTTATATTTAGCGCACACGTCTGAGCGCTGAACATCTGGCACCCTAATGTCCAGTCTCAGCCTCCCACGCGCGCACGCACACACGCACGCACACGCACGCGCGCACACACGCACGCACACGCACGCGCGCACAGACGCGCACGCGCACACGCGCGCGTGCACGCGGACACGCACACACTCATGCATACACACGCACGCACGCGCACGCACACGAACGCACACATGCATGCATACAAACGCGCGCACGCGCGCACACACGCGCACGCACGCTGACTCGCACACACTCATACAAAACAAGAGCTCTTGATACANACACACACACACACACACACACACACACACACACACACACACACACACACACACACACGAGCAATCACATACACACACACACCCGCGCAACAGGCGCGCACGCACACATGTACGCACGCGCGCACGCCCACACGTACGCACACATACTCGACCATTTGCCCGCGCACACATTGATCTGACATATAAGACAGCGATAGAGTGTTTAATGTAATATGTTAATGATGCTGCGAGTGACTGTGCGTGCTTGCGTGTCTGAACGTGGATCTGTCCCGTATACCGATCTCTACCTATATACCGCCTACACAACCACCGCGTTGATTTGTCATTTTCCTCTTCACCCTGTTCCCCTCTCTCTCTGTCTCTCTCCCCCCTCTCTCTGTATGTTTGTCTCTCTCTCTCTCTCTCTCTCTCTCACGTCATCACGCACGCGCGTGCGTTTCACGGGTCGGTGCGCGCGGAGAGAGGAGGGGGGAGGGGGGAGGGGAGGCATCAGTGGTGTCCGCGCGCTTCCCCGCCTGCTGTCGTCTGTAGGGCATGTATGCGCACATCGCTCACACGCACGCACGCACGCACAGGCGTCTGCATGTGCCCGTGATCTAACAGCAGACGGAGGAGTCAGTGCAGGTGAGGCGCTCGCACCGCTAGTTGAACGACAAATGCACCGCGAGTAGCAGTAGCAGCAGCAGCAGCAGCAGCAGCAGCAGCAGTACCACCAGCAGCAGCAGCAGCAGCAGTACCAGCAGCAGTAGCAGCAGTAGCAGTAGCAGCAGCAGTAACTGTAGCAGTAGCAGCAGCAGCAGCAGTATAGCAGCAGTAGTAGCAGCAGCAGTAGCAGCAGCAGCACTAGCAGCAGCAGCAGCAACAACAACAACAACAGCACACATCAGCAGCAGCAGCAGCAGCAGTAGCAGTAGTAGCAGCAGTCATAGCAGCAGCAGCAACTGTAGCAGCTGCAGCAGCACCACCACCAGCAGCAGCAGTAGCAGCAGCAACAGCAGTAGCAGTAGCAGCAGTGACAGCGGCAGCAGCAGCAACAGCAGCAGCAGTAGTATCACAGTATCCCAATATCTAACAGTGATTGTGCGAAGCATCCAGGAAGCAGAGTCAGGCGACGTTTCCGCGTGTTTCCACGTACTAAAGCGTGTTCGACGCGTGCTTGACGCGTGCTTGACGCGTGCTTGACGCGTGCTTGACGCGTGCTTGACGCGAGTTCGACGCGTGTTTGACGCGAGTTTGACGCGTGGTTGACGCCTGACTCCGGTGTGTGACGTCACCGTAAAGAAATCCGCCGGAGACAGGTTACGTCTGATTGAGCACAGACGACGTCTGACGCCGACGTCCGCCGCAGACGACGTCTGAGCGAGTGAGTGTCCCGTACGATCGTCTGCTCCTAACACAGGTACAGTAGATATATACAGATATACAGGTAGTTATAGTCGTAATCGTCATAATAATAATGATGATGAAGATAATAATAATAATAATAATAATAATAATAATAATAATAATAATAATAACAAGAATAACGATAATCATCATCATCATCATTAGCAACGTCATCGTCATCGTCATCATCATAGATAATAACAATAATGATAAAGATAATAATAATAATAATAATAATAACAACAACAACCGTAATAACAATCATCGTCGTTCTCACCCCATCCTCCTTATTAGGTGCGTTTCCCTCGTCTAAGTGCGC